ACAACTTTTGTTTGTTCTCATTTGGATCAATTTTGGTTTATTTCCATATCACAAAATCATAAGAAGAAGAAAAAATCTGTAACTAGATAATAATTTTTATTCTTAAATATCACAATTAAGTGCTGGAAGGATTTAAATTATACCATATAAGAATGAGATTTGCCACTGGTGCAATGTGCATCATTCTGAGTTCAGACTTCAATGTGCCTTTTACCTGTACTCTACAACCCCAGATCACTCATTTCTTGACCACTGGCTTTCTCTGTTTTCACATGAGAGACATGGAGGAAAATTAGAAAGAGTAAAAACTATGCTACTAGACAATAACTGCAGACCCTTATTTGAATGAGTATTCTATGTGAAGTATCATGATTGTCTTAATGATTCTTTATTCATTCAATATTCAATAAATATTTCTTCAGGATACACTTTGTGCTAGACACTTTGATAGAACTTTAATACATAATAGTGGAAAAGATATCATTTTTTCATCTAATAGATCTTATATTCTTGCTAGGGAGATAGCCTTTGTAAAAGCTGCACATAAAATATATAATTACACATTTTGATATTTGCCAAGAATAAAAAGGACAGAGTACTATTAGAAACTTAAATTTGACTAGAGATTTAGGGGAATCCTGGTGAAGAAAGAAATATTTAAGATGCGACCCCTAGGATGATTTAAGTGTTCTCCATGAACAAAGGATACGAATGGGTATTCCAAGCTGAGAAAAGGCTATTGTCAAAGTATTGGGAAAATTTGTTCCTGTGGAGAAGTGAGAAAAGGTCAGTGTAGCTGGAACATAGAGTATTTGAACAGGGGATGAGAGTCAGTGCTCTGTCAGTCGTATTGGAATTTTACCTAAAATCCAATGGGAACTCAAAGAAGCATTAAGCAGAGGAATGGCATGTATCAATTTGCTTTGAAAAATACTATCTGGCTGCTGTAACTTGGGAAATGGATTATGAGGGAGAATAGAACATAGAGGCTTGTACAAGTAGTTGTACAGATAAAATGAACCCAGAATGTGCTTATAGAAATAGATGTAGAAAAAAATAAGGTACATTCTAAACACATTTTGAAAGTGAAATACACAATATGGTCTTTGAATAGATGAATTCAAGTAGAAAAAAACATTTATTGTAGTTTTCCTTTCCTATTCTTGACCACTCAATATCAGGCTCTAGTAACAAGAAAATTTTCCTATTGTAGCTTGAGGTAAACAAAATTAGGATAGCACCTACTGTCTTTTCTCCCTTTATTTTCCTCCTCTATTCCAGAGAAGGTCCTGTTATGGTCCTAGAAAGTTTGTTTGGACAGATGTAACAGGTTATATATATCAGTGATCATTCTTGGGCCACACCTAACTGGGCTGGGTTCCAAGCAATGTCCCCATCAAAACAGAATGAAAGGATTCATTTTTAATCTATGGGGACTATATGTGGGAAGAAAATCCATAGTAGCAACTTCACTCAAGGGTCAGTACTCTTAATATATCCCATCCCTCTCTGTTCACCAGAAACATACTTGTTATTTTCTGATTTATCTGTTCCATAGTTGTAAACATCAGAAATATAGCTTTCATGAAAACAACGTAAGGATTACATTTCAGAAAGTGATTCCTAATCTATCATTTGATTGACAAATAAACAAGATGCCTCTGTTTCTAGCACTTATGCTGTCCAATCTTATAAGTTTGTAATTCCATTTACTATTGGCAGAATTCCTCTACTAGAGTTTAACCCTTATATGCACATAGAATATACATTCATCACACTTGGTAGAAGATTAAATAAATTGTGCTTGTCAAAGATGACTAAGATAGAACAATGAGACAGAAATAAGCATGTGAAGAAGTAATAGTATTTTATGTGTTTGTTGCTTTTTTGCAGTGCTGAGTGTTGAACCCAAGGCCTTGTACGTGCTAGGCAAACATTCTGACAGTCCTATAAGTTTTCTTTGTTTATTTTCTCCACTTAATCATGAAAAGAGTTAAGGGCAGTTAGAATTCCTAGCTCTGGTCCCTATAAAGATTGTGTTTCCTGGTCCTTTTAGAAACCATTATATTCTAACTTCAGACTATTCAAAGAAAAACCCTCATTCACTTTTATTGAGATGAAGAATTTGGAACTGAGAAGTTGGGAGAAAGGATAAAATTCACACAGTTAATTATGAGGAAATGGGAATTATAATTCAAGCCATCTGGATTCTCATCTATTGGTCCTTCTAAACTGAACTCAATCAAGGTAGGAATTCTTTCTTTTTCATCTGTGAGTTAGTAACTATATATTTTAGGAAAAAAATATGGTCAAGACAAAAATCATTAGTCTTTCATGAGGTGGATACTGCTATTGCCCCTAATTCAGAGATCAAGAAATTTGTTTTACAGCGATTAAGAAATTTGCACATAAATTATAAATGACAGAGAATTTGAGCCCTATTCTGTCTGAATCTAGATTTTGAACTTTTAACCATTCTACTAAACTAAAACTCGAGGACTTTTATTTAACAATACTTAATTCCTATTATGTCAAAAATCCTGTCTGTTAAAAATTGCAGCTCCAATGATTCTTACAATCTGAATAAATTTTAATCATCTCTCTATCTTTTAGATGATGAATTCAAGTAGTATTTCTTTTTCCAGAATTGCAACTTGAACTCAGTCATTTATACATTAGAAAAGTGCTCTGCCACTGAACCACATTCCTAGACCTAGGAGTACTAATTTTTGAGGATGTTGAAAACATTTCAAGTGAAGTCTTTTAGTTTTCCTTTTTTCTAAGTTACCTTCACCCATCCTCAGTACCTTATCTGTCTTTTCAGAGGAAGACTTATACCAACTTCTTTCTACCATTATTTCTCCCATTTGCTAATTATTTTCCAAATCTTAGATTTATACCTTTATCATGAGCATCTTCACCTTTTGCCATCTGTCTCCATTTCTCCTTAAAAATACAGTCCACTACTCTGCTAGTTCTTGAACTAACAACATTGTTGAAGGTTCATTTAACTTCCTGTCACTGATTACTCATATTCTGCTTCCACTTAGAATGATTTCAAGTTTATAGACTCATACTGAAAGTATTTCAAGTCACAATATCTTCCCAAGCAGCCCATAACTTCCAGGCTATTCTCTCTTTAACCTCACATGGTATCCTAATATATTACAAATATATTAAACCTTATGTTCAAATTATGACTCAAATTTTTTAACTCCATATCCCACTCTTATTGTGTGTGTATGTGTGTTGTGTGTATGTGTGTTTACACAAATTTATCCAAGTAATTTCCTGTGAAGTTCCTTTCCTGAAATCATCCCTTCTTTCTGAAATGACTCTCTACCAAACACACTAATTATCCATTATTCAAAGTACCCCATTACCATGTTTGTATAATTAATTTATATCTGTTGCCTTCAATATGTACTTATTGCTATTTTTAAGGCTTTAAACAGATATCTGTCCATTGTGTTTATTTAAAAACTGAGGACAGTATTTAATTTAGCAAACCAAACTTTCTGAGTTCAGAAGCAAATACAAAATATCTATGAAATTCTATGGCAACATGTATAACTCATAATATTTTACCTTACTTATTATTAATATGGTACTTTATCATATATACTTGGCAACCATGTTGTATATGGTTGCTATATGATAGCTTAAGGCATGGAAAAGACTTCTGCAATGTTTTTTTTTATTTTGAATTCAAAATAGGAGTGAATCCATGGAGATATGAAGCACATCACTATTTTAAATGTTGAAATAGAAGCAATGATCAGGCTCATCCTAATTACTTGGATATTTCCAAAAATAAGATAATCACAACCCTAGTAAGTATGGGGATAAACTCTTAGGAGCTGACTAAATTCAACTATCTCCAGTCTTAGATACAAACGGGTGTTCTCAACTTTGAAACAAAGTGATTCAAAAGTGACTATCCATGAATGTTTGAATTCCAGTTTCTTATAAAACATTCCTGAAATTAAATAGTCTTGACTAAAGGTACAGTGAGAAACTCTCAGTGGGAGGAGGAAACATCCCTGTCATCTTGAGTCATCATTTGGTCATAAGGTACTCATCTTGGTGACATTATCAAAAATGTGTTCTCTCTGTCTCTCTTGGGAATCTTTTGAATCACCTCTTATATATGCTCTTATTTTTCAGGCTAGAAGGAAAGTTCTGACTCAACTTCTTTCTTCAGTTTCGATCTATGAATAATGTTCTATGTTGAACTGCTAGATGAAATATAATTTAATATTTTTAGGCAACATTATATTTGTGAAATAGAATTTTGTCTTAAATTCTTATTCAAATACCTATTTACCTGTAATTTCCAATGGGATTTTAAAAAATCTAAAAGCATACATTACAAATATGAGCAAAATTGAAGTATTCTGAAAGTAAGCACATACCCAAATTCTATATGCCTTGCCTGTCCTTTACCTCAATCCCTAGAAGTAGAAACAAGTAAGATGATATAGTATAGCATTTTGCATTTATGTTTATACCTTATATACTTTATGTACATTAATTCAGATGTTTCACTTGAGTATGACACAGCAAGATAAATTTATCTGTGCATTTGATTTTTTTGTTGTTTGGCCTGTACCATATAGGAAACTCTATGCAAGCACAAGTGATTATAAGTTGCATATAAAAGATTATATTATAATATTAAAGCAAATATTTTTAATAACTATATTAAATCTTAAGACTAACTAAGATTTTATTCATTTCAAAAATATATAAAGTTAATGAAGAATGCGTTCATTTCAGAAAAACCTGATGAGAAAATAAATTATTTAAATTGTCTTAGGATACCTTTATCCTTGAATCTTAGTTGTCAATTATTATATTTGACATAATAAGTTGAAGGATAATATTTTAGAGTTACTTAATAAAGTTGAGTGTCAATAAAATCTGTAGCAGAGATTATTTCTTTCTTCATTAGGATATGTTTTATATAACAATTAAAGTGAATAAGCTAAGCAATTTACCTTTTCCAGACCTTCTTCCTTGAGACTAATCACATCCAAATCAAAATCTGTTCGTAAGCCATTGGTTTTGTTGAAAGTTATTCTGCCTGTGAGGCCTTCCCAATGAGCCTATTGAGGAAAGGGGAAAAAAAGTTAATAAGTAAGTAAAGAAATAGAAGATAAAATGCTTGTCTATAAATACTAGGAAGATTATTATCAGCACTCTTCTTAAATTTTCATTGCTGTAGATATATAAAATATTTTTATTTTATTCTGAAATTTGAAGGATATTTTTCATAAATAACATCCTCTAATTTCCATATAAAATTTGTTTTAAAATTTTCATTTTATACAATTAATGTTTCTACTTATAATTCTTTTCTAAAAGAAATTTGATGATTATGCTTTGAGTAGTAAAAAGAATTTAGTCACTTATTATTATGACATATGAACTACTGGATATCTCACGGTGTATTACAGATATAACTGTTATGAACTACCAGTCCTAAATTAATTTAATATAAAAAGAAACTTAGTACATTGAAAAGAAGTAAACCTCAGAAAACCTATGTTAAAATTCAGTTATGCAATTTCCCCTTATAATAATTTCCCTTATTACTTTAATTTCTCCTAAGTAATTATTTTATACAAAGCTATAAGTGGGGAATGAGGCAGGAATACCATAACTTACTATGTAATGTGTTCACCCTTCCAAGGTGGGTATTATTTGCACTTTGTGTTAATATAAAATCTTTTCTTATTCTGTTTGTTATGTAGGACAAATTAATTGCTTTCCACTATTTTCATTTGGAAATAGCTTTGAAAAATACTTACACATGTATGAGAATTTTAAGTTATGCAAGGAAACAATCGTAATTATAATGTTTAAAATAATAAACACCAATGCTCAAAAGAAATAAATCAAAAAAATTAAGGGTAATATTTCAATAAAGAATCCAAATGAATATCTTTATTAGAATATTTCTGAACCTCTGTGTTTCTCAGGAATTTTAAAATAGTCAAGCTAATAAATTATAAATAAATATAATTATAATTTATACAAATTTACATAATTATAATTTATACAAAAATAATATAAGTATATATGTGTATAGATAGATAGATAGATAATCTCAACATGTCTTCACTAAAGTTAAACACGTGTTAACTGGCTTAGAAAAAAAAAACAGCAAGTGCAGTGGTGCATGTCTATAATCCCTGCATCTCAGGGGACTGAAGCAGGAGGATAGCAAGTTTGAGGCCAGCCTTAGCAACTTAGGCCTTAAAGTAACTTAATGAGAATCTTTCTTAAAATAAAAAAGTAAGAAGGACTAGAGATATAGTTCTGTGCTAAAGTGCCTCTGGGTTCAATACCCAGTACCCTAGTAAGAAAAAAAAAATGTTTGCCCAATGTCTTCAAGACAAAAAATTTTAGATGGTTAGCAAAAATAGATGATATAAAAACATACAAATGAGTTAAGATCTATAGGAATAGAAGCAAAAAATAGTCAAACAAATCTGGAATAGAGAGACCATAAAAATGTAAACCAGATGAAATCATGGAACTGATAGAATTTTATCACAAATTCAAACTTGAACTTCTAACAAACAACCAAACCAGAAAAGACAATATGATGAAAATATAATATGTAGAGTTCATAGGTTAAGACACACCAGTGGCTCAGAAGAAACAGCTTCTCCTGGGACTGAGCCCTGAGAGAAATTTCTCCTGTTCGTCCTCATAAGGGGGACACTGTGTAAATTAGTAAACAAGTTTCTCAATTATACTCTACAAGAAATACAATGAGTGGAATGTCATACAACTCTTTCTTCTAAGGCTGCTTGACACATGTCATGGTCTCAATACTTAAGGTCCAGGTTCAGAAAGATCAGTTCTTCAACTACTTCAACCCGTGGGCTATGAGGGAGCTATGTGAGCTCCTATGTGGGCTATGTGAGCCCTCTGATGCTTAGTTTTGGACCTTTAGTAAATGCAAAGTGTGGAACATCTAACAAACTTCATCTTTTTCTGGGGATGTCAGTTCACTTATCTAAGGGTTTTATAAGAATTAGACAAAGGAAATTCATGGCTATTTTTTGCCAAGAATCTAGAGATTCTTTTATTTATTTATGCATAATTATTTTATAACTGAATGATCCTATTTCAGGATGAGTAATTAATGATAAGATGAACTGATGATTTATTTAACCAATTAATGAAAATTCTTATATGGTAATTAATACCTGTGATATTTCATAACAAATTTTAACAATCAGCTAAACTTTCATCTCTAAAATATAACCTGAGCCAACAAATGACTTTCTTTCATGATAGAAATAGCAGAAAGAATAGAAAGAAAATGTATTTGTGTGTGCACATATATACAATCTTTAAGAATTTTCCACTTTTTTCTTACATCAGGCATGCTTGGTCTATAACTGTAATTGACCCAATCTGAAATAATATATAATCATAAGGATGGTTATATTATACAGTATGAAATAAATTTTGCATTTTTATGAGTCCATATGTTCTTCTTTATGTTAAATGTTAATATAATTACAATAACTAGACATTATATTTCAGAACCATAAATCTAAAGACCTGCACTTTAAGCCTCACAAACTAGATATAATTTTAGTGTAGTTCAAATGACACTTATATTAAAAATGCATTTTATATCTTGTTGCCTAAAATATGAGCACTCTATAAATTTCTATATGTCTACATAAATGAAAAGTTAACACACATAAAGATTCAGTAAGCTAAAAGTTAATAATATCATAAATTAAACTTTCATAGGTCACAGTCTTTCATGTTTACATCATCATAGATATATGGATATTCCACTTATGAATAATCAAAACAATATTTTTCATATTTTTAGTAAAAAATGTTAATTTTGCTTGTTTCAGGGGAGAGATACTTTTAAACGATAAAAGTAAAATATCACCAGATAGAAAAACTTCAATAATTTTACTTCATTCACCTTGAGCACAGAAGTGATAAACTTGAGTGCTTCTTGGACTTACCTCTTTAATTAGGCTCATGAAACGGGTCCCAAAGCGCCAGGGTTTGTGGCGATTACACTGCAAGGAGCTAACTGTCATCTGGGGAAACTGCTGGACTGCCACAGACACGACGTGCACAGCATCATACATTAGAGCAGCATCCGTCTGGAAGCAGAGGAAAAGTAAATAAGTGTTAAGTACACCTGTGGAGCCTGAGGTACTTAGTTTGGAACTGGAGAAAAAGATGGAGTGAAAGAAATGCATATGCTTTTCCTTATATTGCATAGAAAACATTTTCTCCAGCATGCTATTCTCTAACTTAAGTTACTACATAGGCTCCATTAGAACAATACATGCACCCAGCCTTTCTTTCCTGAAGTGATAACCCAGTTAGTTATTCTCCTGACATCCTTGTTGGAGTTGGAAATATTTGAAGACATTCATTAATTCCCTTTTGTCTCTATTACACTTTACCTTCTACAAACACACACCCGTGTGCACACACAATGAATCTAATTGCTAACATTGTCAATGGTTAACTCACACATCACACAGGAAAGAAAGTAAATAAGTAAGCAGTTCTATTGTATGGTAAGAAGAAAAGAGAATTTAAAGGAGATTCTCTCAAAAAAGCTTTGCTAATATAAACCCTGATCTTTTCTTCAACTCAGTTTTTCAAAGAGTTGTAGCTCAGAAATGATGCTACAGTTTTGAACATTAATACATTTATTAATCCCTTTTCAGGAAGCTAAGTTTAATCCCTGTGCTGTTGTCTTTTCTTGAAATTTCCATATGAATAAAAGTTCATTTGGCTTCTTAAGTAAAATGAATATGAATTCTACTGTGCTGCACCTGCTCAAATTACCAAGTACCTTAGAGGCTGATGGTAAAAAATAAAATGTTTATAAGTCACAATAAACTGGGGGCTCAGAGGCTCAACAACTGTCAAGTGCTATGTTAAATGAATCCTCACATTGTTTGACAGATCCATGTCAGGTTCACTACCTACAGAAGGGGGTCATATGAGAGGGTACCAATGAACTTTGAGCCATCTGTTTAGCATGCTTTAGAATAAAAACTGGTGGTTTTCTTCTTTCATTCACACAAATATCGAGCTGTAAAAATGAATTTCAAAATGAATAGAAATCCTTTAGATTATAGTGTTTTACACAATACAAAATAAAAGAAGTACACATAGTAGCTTTCATGGACATGGATCCTAAGGAGTTTTACCACATGAAATAAGATGGCTAAAGAGTACAATGGAATGACAGAACATAATAATACCCTTTTATACTTCTTTAGTCTTTAAGGAATATAACTCGAATTAATAACATTCATTTTATAAATACTAACTAAGTTCATATATCCTGGCTGAATAGTGAAAATTAGTGTCATGGAGCAAATTAATACAGGCATATAATAGTAGTCTAAGGGTTAGATTAATCAGGTGGAATCCCACCAGCCAAGCCCGCACTGACCCCCGGGCTGAGTACGGGAGTTTAGACGGGGAAGGAAGCGGTACAGTCCCATCCCCCACAGCGGACACTCC